ACCGTGATTCCCTTGACATCCGAAGCAGTATTGTGGAAAACCAAGGGGAACGTCACCTGGAAGCTTTGATGAGGGGAGAAGGATGCTGCTTCTTCCCTTTCAGCTATGACTGTATACATGCAAGGAGCAGGGACTGGACTCGGAGTGCGGACTCAGACATTAGAGGCTGTCAACAATCAAATTTGAGCTCCACTTGAAAAATTGACTCATTCTTAACCAGTGAAAGATGACAGCTTGTGCTCACGTCGCCAAGTACCGACAGACAGTCCTGAATCACCTCCAATGTAATGTGACCCACACTGGCAACAAAAGTAGTTTGGCAAAAGAAAGGTTTTACTGGTGATTCATGAAAAAAAGAGATGGAACAGAAGGTGGCAGCCAATCAGAATGAAGGAACTGGGAGAGCATAAAACACCTTATCACAGCCTTGTATGCTGCACACTGGTGCAAAATGTGTAAACGAAGCCCTCCATCGCCTCCAGGGATCTGGCAAATGTATTAGTATTTGGAAGATGGAAAATGTTCTCAAACTGCGCTTGAAATATCTCTGTTCTCTTCATGCACATTTAATGTGATATTAGCAAAGATCAATAAACATCAAAATAGCTCCAGGAAAAAGTTACATCACCAATAGTGTTTTTTTAAAGAGCAATTTAAGGGGTGCTTTGAGATAAATGTTTCCCTCATGTCTCACTCCTCTGCAGTGAGAGGATTTGGCATGCTGCTCTGCCAATCTTTATGTATCTGTAGCCACAGGACGTCATCCATTATAGCTGTTATTTCCAGCCTTTAGGACCCTCACATGTGTCATACATCACTCTTTGGAAATCATTCTGAGCTGATATGAAACCACAGCACAAGTCCAACAAGCAGAATCGAGCCAGCACAGTTTTAAAGGCAGTCAACAGGGAAGAATCCTTAGTTAGCTTGACTACATGAAGCACACTAAAGTGGGGTGCTGTACAGTGAGTAGTCCTGCACCCTAAAGCACTGTCAGCGTTATTCAGCTGCATATGAGCTGACCAGTCGTGTGGCTGGTTTGTCTTTGTGGTGGAACAGGACATTGGCTCAGTGAGGATGTAGAATCACTTTTACATTTGCAAATGCATAATAAGATGAAGATGAGAAATAATGAGAAACTGTCGACACCAATTCTGGTCCTCGAGGGCCACTGCCCTGCTTGTTTTCCAACTATTCCTGCCCTACCCCACTGCTGATTACCTGGGTCAGGTGTGTTCATTCAATCAGAAGCTGGAAGATACTAATTCCCGTTAGGCTTGTACGAGATGAACTGCGTCTCGCCTGGTCAGTGGACGAGAGTGGGCGGCTGCAGCAGAGGGCGGTGACAGAAATCAACAGTCAAGACAGTTTAGGAGCGTTTCACCAGCCTTCAGTCTATACAAGAATTCACAGAAGCAGTCGCATACTGTTAGATCTGATCCATTTGGTGGAATGTTATCAAACCAAAATTTTCAGCTTCTACTCAGGGTCCAAACTGCTGCTGTTTTAATGACGTTCTTCTATATGAGAGGGGCCCCAAAGACCAGAATTGCCCACCCGTAATCAGCACAACTGGGTTAGACTACAGACAATCTTACAACACAGTGATTCTGCAGCTATGCTCAGAAATCAACATCCAAAGCAGCAAATGTAGAGTAAGTAAGAGCACAGAGCAGTGAAACCCAAGTCACTGCATCACACCACCACTGCTCCGCCTGTGCAGAGCCATACAGGCTGATGAAGTATTACGTTTGGGATCCTGGGACCCATGCATCACCTCTTATGGGACACGTAAGGTGACTCCTGGCAGCCCAACAACAAGTGGCAGCACATATATCTCTTAATACAGTCAGTCACAGCTCCTCCCGCCTTTATTTCTCTCTTCCCAACACATACACAGAACCACACAAACTGGTGCACACCTCATTCATCTGATCTGCTCCACACGCATTAGCTGTTCAAGGACTGTGGCAATATTCATCCACCATCATTACCTAAGGAACTTTTACTTCCATCATATATTTACCAGCCCGGGCACCACTCCAAACTATCCAAGAAGACTATTACCCGCAGGCAGTGGTGGAAGCACATTTAGAAGAACAAATCTGAGGTATTTTCATATTACTAGTCCACCATATTTTAGAGGGAAATTACACCTTTTATTCCAGTACAATTATCTGTCAGCTAAATTAAGAATTTACATGAAATATACATGTTAATACCCTATTCTATCTAAAGTCATGTCTAGCGAGACTCAAAACAGACTGACACCATTTCCTCACTGCTCTTGGCCCCTCCCATCACATCCTGATTCCTGTCAACAACATGAACTATGGAGGCCTGGTTGGGACAAACTCTTTAAAACACAACCTCCAGTCTGAAGCTAGCGTTAGCCGACTAACAGTAAATGTGTCAGTCCAGTAGAACACCCTGGTTACTGCTGACATTACACAAAGCTCCAGTTTCTCCCAAATTAAAATCATATTAATTCAACACAAAGGTAAAATCCTGACCATGCTAGGTGGCTAATGCTGCCAAAGCAAACAGGTTAGCTTTAGATGATAACACATCCAGAAGGAAGAAGGCCACATCTGGATCCAGTCTGAGTCCTCTGGCTGCTTTTAACCCTCTCCATGTCAAACAGCCAAACCCATGTTAACCCTGGTTGTTGCTCTTTCTTTGTCCCACTCTCTCTGTGCTAAAGACGCCACCTCTTCACTCTGACAGCTGCTGGTTCAGACTTTTAGCTGCCCAGAGCTCCTCCATGGCTGTTTGACATGACTACTGGCTGGAAAAACCCTTCTTCTAACCTTGGCTAGGCGGCAGGCGGGGCTCTGATTTACAGACCGTACTTTGACAACACAGGGTGGAGAAGCTGGAATAACAACAGGAGGCTGTAGGCAGCAGAGGGTCATGGAGGGGGGTGTAGCTGAGAGACACCAGGTCCCACTGTCACTGGGGTTATTAGACAATGTGGGAAATCTTAGTTAATTATCACTAGGTGATGATTCTCTTGAGAACCAGTGACATCACCACATTGTTTTCACACTCTAATTTCTTAGCCTGTTATTCAAAACATTTTGATTAAAGCTCTTTTAAGTTGATGTTTCTCATTACACAGACTTTTAATTAAAAACATTTTCAATAAAAGCCTTACTTCTGATGGAGTATTTTTATAGTGTGCTACTAGTTCCTTCACTTAAGTATCTGAATACTCCCCTTCTCACAAGCTGACTGTAAGCTCCACACACTGTAAAGCAAACTATTCATATCATTACCTAAATAGAGAGGAGGTCAGAAGTGGCAGGGGGAAAAAAGCATGCAGGCACGCCGAGTTAAAAGACTGTCAGCAGAACAAGGGATGAGGTGAGGAGGAAAAAGAGGGAATGAAAAAGAAGGAGGAGCTGACGCAAGACAAGCTCATTACACTGAGGGCAGCGGTGGGACAAATGATGCATGGAGCTGGCAGCATTGATCTCCCCCTTCACACGAGGAGGGTTTCCAGGCAGGGAGATGCATGGAAAAGTGTGTGTGCAGGACGGAGAAATACTCAGGTGCCGCTGCTCTAATGGAGAGGCCACAGCCGCCAGCCTGTTGACAGATGACTTGTCAATGGAAAGGAGAAGAAAAAAGGAGAAGTCGTGATTGGATAGTTGTTTTAATGCTTGACCTCCTTCGTCCTAGTGCCTGTCCTTCATCGATGCTGAAGAAGAGGGTGGACAAAAGGAGAGAGAAAGCAAGAATAAACAAGGGAGAGGACAGAGTGATAAATAACTGGGAGGAGAAATGCTGAGATGGATTTTTGGGGGAGAATAACTGGCTCTTTTGGCACGACATCAATGCATTGTTCAGGGAATTGTTAATGTAGCATAGCTTAAATCTATATTTAAATTCTGCAATGTTTAATCATCCTACATTTACGGATGTATTACTGAATGAGTACAGGCCCTACAGCAAAGTACCATGAAGGGATTGTTAAACTTTCAGTTAGAAAGTCAATCACATGACTATGAAAGGCCACAAAATGAGACAAATCAGATGCAGAATGACTAGCTAGATATAAAACCACCAACAAGAAAACACAAAAGATCACAAAGACAGCAAAAGAAAGACAAAACAATTACAAAGAAATGCAAAACAACTAAAAACACCAAATAAAATAACTACAAAGAGATGCAAAATTAGCAAAAATTAAAACAAAATGGTTTAAAGGAGACACAAAACAATCACAAGAAGAAAATGACTACCATTCAAGTGGTTATTCAAATGAGTCCAGAAGTGTCAGAGGAGTCGGGGCATTTAAATGTCTGTGCCCAGGGGCCCATGCCTGCATTTTATCCTGCATCATAGTTTTGTGGTTTAAAGCTTCATGAATAATATCTGTCTGACTATTTATTTTATTTTACCTTTATTTTACCAGGAAAACCTCAACGAGCTTTAGTCTCTTTTACAAGAGTGTCCTGGTCACGACAAAAAACAACATAAAACACACCAATTTAAAAACGACAACTCAGCTCATATAAAAAAACAAATCATTGATAAAATTACAATAAAACAGAGTAGGACCACAGAATACACCAAAACTAAATCAGCAGCAAAGTCCCTAATAATTTATTCAAGGACTGGTTGTAAAAGTTAATGCACAATTTTATATGTTTTACAAGAAGCAAGGGAAGAATTTGAGAGGAAAGGGGGTGTTGTTTCTATTTTAAAGCATTTTTACTTGTTTTCATTGTATTCTGGCCTAGTTTACACTTTTCTTTTACAATTCAGAAGACATTTTAGTATTTTTTCTACGTTACATCCATTTTCAGATTAATACTTTACATACACCAGTAAACATGAGATCATCTGTATGATGATAACTACCCCAGTTAATGTGCTTTAAAGCCAAAATTCTGCAGCAATTTCCATACAAACGTCTACCTACTTTCGAATCTGAACACATATATATGAGACACACATTTTAGGGTTCACTTTTAGAGTTCACTGTGACTTACACTTTTTGAAGATGGCATTGTCTTTGACGTTCATAAGGAATAAAAAAAAAGTTCACAAACCCATTTGGAAATCCAAGAACAAAGAAGCCTCTTGAAACGCCAGAACTTGCTCGAGATTCATCGTGTTTTTAAGTTTACTTCAGTGTCAAATTAATTCAGTAACAGTTGTCTGAGCAGACAGGGATTCGTTGCAAACGAGAACTGCTAGTAGCTAATTCGGCATAATTTAAATTGCGCCATATTCCTAAATTACCATAGCTAACAGACTGATTCTCTAACAACATTATGCTTCCTGAGTAGCATAGATCCCCCAAGGCATTATGGGGACTGTAGTTCCCAAACTGGTGGTACATTAGGACATAAGTTTTCGGGGATTTATTAATGCAGCATAACCTATAGACTAGCATTTATATTGTGCTATATTTAATCATCCTACTTCTTAATCTGTGTCACGCTTCTGTAAATTACACTCAGTTGACAGTTTATTAGGTCCACCTGGCTAAAATTAATGCAGTCTAAACCAACACTACTGCGATAAATTCTCCCTTCTTGAAGGTCTGATGTTCAGTTTCAGAGGTGTTGATACAATGATCAATGCACTTTGTGCTGCTGTTGAACTGTGCAGTGAGGGGTTTACAAAATTATCTATATTATTATTATAAATGGAACTGACAAATTATTATATTGTAAGGTAAGCTACAGCCGAAACAGCGTGTAGAGCTGTACCAGGCACAGTGCCACTGGGTTTGTGGTTGGCTAAGGGATGAGCAAAACAGGCTCCCTGTTGGCAGTGCAAAGGAGGCAGCTGCACTTATTCCACTACATTTAAATGACCATTTTAGTTATTTAGCAGCTTAATACTTAAGAGAATAAATAAATGTAGGACTTTTTCATATAAGGGAGACTTTTTAGATCATGTATTAGGACTGTTACTTAAGTAATGGATCTGAATAGATCTTCCACCACTGCAGAATTTTACATATGACTCATATGTAATACGATGGCTGCAACACACCACTGGCATTTCCCTGTATAAAACAAGCCCTTTGTAGAAAAAATCTGCAGTCTGTGTTTTTTAAAAGAATTGCTTGTCAGCTACTAATTAATAGATGCACTAATTTACCTAAATTCACTGACAACTTGCCACATAGTAAACATGACTGTGGAAATGGGTTTGTCAAAGTGATTACAGGTTACAAAAGAGGCATTTTCCAGGAAGACAGTTTTATGTATTTACATACGTACGCGTAAAAATGTCATTTCCTGCTGGCATTATTAAGAGATGAGCCAAGACAACTGCAAGGACAAAGTAAAAAGAAAACAGTTTGCAAAGGAAAGGCAGTCATAAATGAAGGGAAGGAGGGAGGAGAGAGGAGAAAGAAGAAAAAATGAGTGGGTTTGCTGTGATTCAGGCATCCACACAGGGACCAATATTACCATACATCAGGACAATAAATGAGGCTTTCAGCAAGCGGTAATAAGAATTTGATAAATCATGAGCCGAAAATTAACTAGACGTCAAAACAATGAGAGCACCTTGAAAGATGAAGAGAGGATGATGGCATAGATTAATCAGAGCCGAGCATAGAAGAGGGGTGAGGGAGGGAGAGAAGAGAAGGAGTCTACAAGCGAGGTCTGAGAGAGGGCACGGAAGGGTCAGCCCCAAAGACAACTGTAGAAAAAACTAACTGCAGAAAAGGAAAGTGGAGAGAAAAAGCTGACTGAAGAAGTGATGGAGTGGAAAATGTGTAACTGAGTAATGGCCAGGGAATGTTACAGCAGACAGCAGGTATGCCTGTAAGAGGACTTGTACAAAAGCAGGTATAAACAGGAGATGACGTCAATGAGCAGGCAGCCAGGTAAACTAGGCAAAATAGGAGGCAAAAGGCAAAGTCTTAAAATAAAGGTAGGCCAACAACTAAGTCTGGAAAGCCACAGCGGGGATGGCACAGGAGACAAACTGGCAGATGCAGGTGGAAATGGTTCAGTCTATACACTAAGAAGTTAGTGGAGGAAAGAGGGAAGAGGTGGCTGGAAAGATAGGAAATACTGGGGTTACAGCAGGGTCGGTGGGAGTGGCAGGATCTACAGCGACAAGAGGATCAGGGGAGCACCAGATTCACTCTCTGGCCTCAATATGGCAACAGTTTTTGAGATATTTCAGTCTGGACCAAAGTGGTGGACCAACAGACTTCAACTCTGTCGATACTGTCATCCTTAGAGAGAACAAAAAAGCACAAAAACAGCACTGTAAGCTATTGTATAAGATTGACAACACACATTTTTGCACCTGATCTGACTTTGATTGACACATTTTTCATTAACATTCCACTTTATTGTCTGTCTCACTCAAGCCTCCGATCCCTTCAGCTCTCCTGCCTCAGTTGCTCCTCACAGGGTGAGGGATGTGACAGGAGGATGTTTATTTAATGAGAGTAGTCTGCAGGGGGTAATGAAATCTACCCTAACACCATTAACAACCAGGCTTATCAGCTCCAGGGACACACATCAGCATGCCTAGCCTTTTGTTCTCTGGCTGCAGGCTGCCGCTGAGCCACAGGACAGATTAAGGATTCTCTCGCCGCTGACACCAACCTTTGAGAAATTAATAACTGTCTGCCAGAATCTGTTTTAGAGTAACTATCATTTTTCACTTAGCTCCTTATTGAGTGATATGGATAGGGGGCAGGTGACAGGCACATGCAAGGTACCTGCAGCAAGCGTGTTCAAGTGTGGCACCTGACCACACAGACACGGTCTCCCTCCGAGCTGCAGTAATTGATGCTGAATGATATTTATCTAATATACATGCACAGACAAACCACAGACTCGCACATTAACACATACAGGAAGTCGGTACATGTATGGCAACATGTAGAGGGACAATGAATACCTCTTGTTCCCTCCCTCCTCCCCTATTTTCAGTCCATATTTCTGGCCGCCCTGGTGCTGCTGAAACAGGCAATATTCTTTTAAAGGCTCATTTGTTGAGCATTACCTTAGAGTGAAGCTGCTGATGGCCACACAAAAGGCATTTAAATGAGCTGTGAGAGAGGCCCATCAATCACCATGCCAGATGCACTCTCCCATTATTATTTATGGACATAATTGGCTCATGTTTCCTCAGGCAATGACTGCACTGATGGATCTGATGATGACTCTGCTCAGCCCAACAATCAGGAAGCCATGAGAAAAAGGGGAGGAAGAGAGGATAGAACATGGGGTGCATATACTGTATGATAAAAGAAGAAAGGCTGCATTTACATGGTGCAAAATGGTTAGGTCAAGTGTAAGAGGCTGAGATGCACAGATGCTGTTGGTTGTGGATTTGGAAATTAGGAATCACTTGTTGAATAGGTTTTATAGGTTTAGTGTTTGCATGGGTGAGTATCAGACAGAAGTATTCTTGTTTATGGAGAATGGATATTCGGGGAGAGACCAGTAGGTGGGGCTGGACAACACACTGGACACAGCACTCAAAGTAAAATTTTATCTGATGGGTTTTAAGATTCCTTCTTACACGTACTGAACACCAGTGTTTGTGTGAGAGTCTGATGCACAGGGCTCACGCCACAAATTCATCCATCATTCAGGGCTGATTTAGCCTCCTGATAGGAGTCAATATGGGTCAGCCATCAGGTGGGACAGTGGGGGAACTGAGCTGTGGACTGTCAGGGAGCTGACACTGGATGTGGCCAGTTGAGTCGAGGACTGACAGTAAGAGCTCAGGGGTCGCTGGGTAAGTGGTCTGTCTCTGACCTTCTCTCCTGATCACCGTCTCTCTCCGGTCCTGCCTCAGCTCAGCTGTGAGTTAATGGCTGTGCACTGAGGCAGGCTTAGTGGAGTTTGTATCGAGGCTGCAGAACTGTTGCATGTCACGGTTTGTCGTCATCACAGATGTGTTGACAGTTTCTGTCATTCTGCCTCTGCCTCCTCCAGTTGGCAGGTAGACAACTTGTTGGCAGGTCTATTTCCCCATCTTACGCTGAAGGGCACCACGTTAGATTAGTTCATGTTGCATGCAGGTGCACTGAGTGTACATACTGTATCTAATATGCGTGACTCAGCCAGCCAGGCTGATAATGTTTTGCCTTGTTCATTTGGCTGATCTCTGTTACTGATGAGCACTGTTTCCTTGACATTTTTCCCCTTTTAATGTTTTTCTCTTTACAAAGACAGAAAGCACAGTTTCTACTTATTGTGTGCATACTGTAGTAACCTTATTATGACACAGCTGACACAGACATTTGCAGAAACTCTATTTTATGTCCAAGAACACTGCAACAACAAACTGAGAAAATTAAGGATGGATTTGTAAGAGTATAATTGACGTTTATGGTCAAACACCAAAGCAACCCGACTATCCAAATGGGACTAAAATGATATTATTTAGTTGTATTAGTAATCTGTCATGCAAACACCTGCAGAGGATATTTTCCAGTTTTATTTTGTGAAGTAGATCTATGTTGTTTTAGAAAACTAAAACAGAGCAGTGTTTCAGTGTCAGACGTGCATAAGGCCTTTGTACTTGAGTAAATTACATACACAGGGAAAATAATAATGGCAGGGGGGGCAGTTTATTTGTATATGGAAAGCATATTTAAAGGACAGCTTGTTTTGCATTAAAATGCATTTCCTTTGTTTCACAAATGTGTTTCAAGGAGCAGGCAATGGCTTATTTTGTTGGACACAGAGAGAGACAGACTACACCTGATAGTTATGCACTTTACTGATCTCTGGCCATGGCATGTGGGGCCCCTTCAGGTTCACCTGAATATTCTTGGTGATCTCTTAACCTTTGTCTTTTACTGCTCCTCTAGCACCATCGTCAGGTTTATGAAAAAAATACTTGCAAATCTCATGACATTCCCGTCAGCTTCAGCTGTACTTCATGTTTAGTGTTCTTCTTAGAATAATCTTAGCATGCTAACACATGAAACTAAAATGGTAGATATTATAAGTGCTGAACATCAGTGTGTTGTTTGCATTCTGACATTAGCAATTAGCTGAAAACAGCCTTGCATGGTTGTAGACTTAGTCTTGTTTGCAAATAATTCCAATGTGCATCTATTACACCTGATCTTTCAGCCACTCAGGGTCAGCTCTAAACACGACACTAGCATAGCATCACCCTTCATGTTTTTATACTGTTCATCTGTTGTTAAGAATATATTGCAATTCATTCACCCTGGACCCCTAAAGTAAAAAATGAATAATAATAATACTTATTTTAAAATTAATCAAATAAATAAATAAAAAAAGAATGTTTATGTTGACAACTCAGTCTCTAATTTAAAAATGTATCATCTTTATTTTGTACATTTCATTGACTGTGTGTTTCCATTTGCTTATGAATGTGGTGCTGTTGGTTTTAGCCATTTTTGTAACATCACCTTTTAAGTTTATTATGAACTTGTTAGCAAACTGTTGCCTACATATACATTCAGCAGGCTTGAACATTAGCATTCACACTCTTGTAGCTCTGTTTTTGTCACCACCAGCTCTTGGGGGAAATATTTAGCTCTTCAGTCGCCGAATGCTCCACTGATATTCACCAGCTGTGCACCAACTTTGGTGAAAACAAAACTATGAGAGCGGTGAGAGTGAACCACAGTAAAGCTAAGACAAAGCTGTACTGCTTATAGTTAATAAATATAACAATAATAATAAAAATAATCAATAATAATCACCTTTATTTGGCCAAGTATGTTACACACAAGGAAATTGTTTCAGGTACAGAACCGAGGCAGCCATCTGCGGCACCAGTAAATATTACTTCACGTATTTATCCTAAAACCAGTATGACATTAGAGGACGATGAAAGCAACAGGAAATGTGAGTGTACAAGTGAGCACAGGCTAGTTCTGATTAACTGAGGTGATCCTTGGAGCATCGGTGAAATAAAACATCTGTGTTGGGTCCTTTCCAAATGCTGTAACCTGCTCTCAACCCCAAAATATGCAACTGCAAAGGAAGTCACAGTGCACAGTGAACTGTAGTCACAGCCTGTGTCAGCAAACACACATAGGAAACATTGGATTGTAAGTGTGTTTTGTATGCGGATAATGTGCACTGACAGAGCTAGAGCACAGCTACAGCCTGGTGCTGACAGACATGTGGTCCTAGTCGGCCTTACCTTGGCTGCTTCCACTCACTCAGTCATATAATGACAGACTCACCTCACCCATGAACTTTGTCACATTCAACCTGATATGTTGTTGTGAGAATTGCATACTTTTTATTTTTCTGGCTTTTTTTAACCAGTGTAGCTCCAGGGATGGCAGCATTGGTCCTTAGGTTGGTCGTCCACTTTGACTCAGCAAATACTGAATAGGTTGTCATGACATTTATTTCATAAGGCACACCTGCTCAGTTTTTGAGAGAGGTGTTGATTCAACAGTATGATCATTGTGGAGGCTGGTGTTTGTGCTGCAGTGTGCAGAGAGGTTTCTGTTGTTTAGCCTGAATTCACTGACACACATGGGCTGGATAAAACAATTGAAACACCTGACAGTATAACACAATAGAACAGCAGCACAAACCCCAGGCACCAAAATGATCACACAGTTGAATCATTAGCTCTCTGAAACAGTCCGAACACAACCTGAACATTCATGAAGGAGGACTGTTGGATTAGACAGCATTGGTTTTAGCTAAGTGGACCTAATAATTTGACTGTACAGGACTTTGTGCCAACATGAACCCATAAGTAGGAGATGTAGAAAGCTCAAATCCATCTCTCCTTGGTCCCTGTTCTCCCTCTCTCAGCTCCCCTCCCTTCTCTGGTCTTCTCTGTCTCTGGCTGTAACACATTTTTCAGGTGACGGAGGAAGCCTCTCTGTCAAAACGTGCTTTCTATTCCTTCCAGGAGATGATTGATGCATCTCCCGTCTCTGTGACTGACAGACTACATAAACAGCCAAACGCGTGGCTCAGAGCTGTCTGGCAGCCGGGCCCCCTGTGCAGGCAGAGGCTGCACTCACACTGACATCCAGGGGGCCTGTGAGGGAGGAACGAGGCCGGGTGGGGTGGGGGGGTTGGCACTGTTCTTATACGCCTACACCTCTGATGTAGATCCACAGTGCACAAGCTGCTATTCTGAACAGTGTGTATAATTTGGTGTGATGTTCTCATGGTACAGTATTAACTTGTAATCTTAATTAATTCATGAACATTTGGACACATTTCAGAAGCATGTGTGATGTTTCCAGTGATATATCTCACAGCAACTGTGAAAATCCTGCTTTGTGGTGCCCAGAAGGGAGGAAACCAGCTCCAGCCAAGTTAGAAAACAGTTATATGCTCAATTTTCTTCTGTAATATCACATTTTGTAACAGCACAGCGATACCCTGGTTACACTGATTTTCTAAACTAAGGCAGTTTAGTGTTTGCTTGATAAGCTTTGTTAGCTCAGTGTTGGTGAATACAAGCTTATGCCTCCACCTGCTGGTAAAATATAATACAAAGCCTGGTGGTAAATGAAAGTAAAACCCAATGCAGTCTCAGTGAGGAGCTGGGCCGCCACGTGCACCAGAACAGCTCCACCTTGGCACTGACTCTCCAGGTCTCTGAACTCTTCTGGAGGGATGAGCAACAGATGTTCCCTCATGTGGTGTTTTGATGATGGTGGTGGTGACGCCGTCTAACATGTCCCTCCAACATCTCCCATAGCTGTTCAACTGGGCTGAGACCTGGTGACTGGGAAGGCCACAGCGTCTGGTTCACATCACGGTCATCCTCATCAGACCAGTCAGACCAGTTGTTTGTCCTGAGGACAAGGGGGCTCTGTCATCCTGGAGGAAGCCACTCAGTCAGGGTTTTCCCCTCAACTGTCACCTGTCTATAAATACACTAACTACACGAGGTTGGTAAAGTAGGACAGCTGTAAAAGTCTTTATTTCACATAAACATGGCACAGAAGACAAATTGTGCACACAAATGTTCCATGCAGCACTAACAGTGTCAATAAATATAATTTCATTGCATTTCTTATCATGTAATTCTAATCCCCTCCTTTTCATTGGACACAAATTTGTCTCCCAGGTCTCATCTACAAGATTTCCTGTTGTTTTACTGACATTTTGAATAATCAAATTAAACAAATTAATTCTCTGTGCAGTAAGATATCTTACAAAACAACCACACAGGACAATACATTACTCTGTACAGTAACATATTCCCCGAGGGACAAAATCATTTGGGATTATCATACAAATTTTTGTTAGTCTTTGCTTTTCAGTAAGATATTAATGTTAAAACAGTTATTTAAATGAATCTATCAGAGAAATTTAGAGGGAATGTTTCTTTTTGGAGGAATTAACAACTCACTGACATCTGAAACAAGAAGTGTTTTTTAAAGGCTCATAGGCCAAAAGGGTTGTTAACACCTGGTTAAATCTTTAGCGACGTGTTGCATTCTGTAAGCTTATCAAAAATGATAAGCTTACAGAATGATAAATATTAAGCTTATGATAAATATTAATCTGGAAAGTAACAAAAGCTGACATACAAAAGTAGTGAAGTAAAAAGCTGAATATTTCCCACTAACATGTCGTGGAGCAGAAATATAAAGTAACTCTGTGCTTGTGCTTTCCACTACTGTGCATTTAAGAAACATATTTATCAATTAAATCTATTTATTTTCTTGCTAACACAACAATGCAAACAAGACAAAACCATTCTTTGGAAGTTCCAACACTCAGTATATATGTATTTATATATATATATATATATATTTCCATTTGTTTTACACGTGTGGTTGTTTTTTAAAGCTCTCAACTGTTTCCATGAACTGTTGTGGGAAAAAAGCTTACTAGCTAAGAAATTAGCATTTCTTTCATAAATACTGTATACTTGTGAAAACACTGTAAGGCCATTAATAAGAGCACTACCCCATAACAGACTGTCTAAAATATTGTTATCATTAATACACTGTATAAGGGGAATTATTGATTAGCCATACCTTGCATAATGTAACGTGGATGCACTTCACCTGCTGTTAAATCAGGAACATGCTTACTGCAGATGTTAACACAGTCTAACAGAAAGGAAACCAGAGGGACACTACAGAACTATCTGAAGGACGTCAACAGTGTTTGTGTGTTTGGACTGGGTGGGGTCTGTCTTGTTGCGACCTCCTTTCTCCAGCACTGCCACTTTCTCACATTGCTCCAGTTGACCGCTCTGCTGGTGGCCAAACTCAAAACTAATCCTGAGCTCTCCCATCTGACAGCGAGGGAGAACGTCCGGGATCCACTCAATCACAAATGGAGCGGCCTCCCTCTGGTCCGTGGTGCCTGCACCTGGCAGAGACACACCGGTATTATGACAGCTCTGCAGAGCGACTTCATTATGGCTGAAAACGGTCACTCACCAACTTTGAGGAAGGTGCGGAGCTCCATCGGTCGTATCGCCTGCGGCCGATCTGGCCTGTATCCCTCCGGTAATTCTGGTTCAGGTGGAGGCTCAGGACAGCGAAAGCTCGAATAAGAACCATCTGCGTTTTTTACAAAGCTCTGAGAGAGCTCCAGAGGCAGCTGGTGTGCAGGCGGAGAGGTGAAAACAGAAAAGTGCATGTTTATATACAGTGTAAAACAATTTATACAACTTATTGATTATCATGCCTGTAATACAAATGGAATATTACTGTAATAATCATTAATAATCCTACTTAAAACTGTTAGATTTTCTTCATGACATTAGTTTTTTTGCATCTTTACTATAAAGACAAATGGCCTTTTACTGAATTAGCTTTGACTGGTGCTCAGTTCTGTTTCTGGATTAGATATTATACCTACAACCATGCAGAGAAGTTGGTAGGCGGCTTCTTGTGGCACAGTCAGGCTGAAATTCGCTTCCCATTCATTTCTACCTGACACATTCACTTCCACTCTTTGTCTGACCTGCTTTCTTTGCTTTGCACCGACAATCTGATTGAACTTGGACACATGAAACCACGAGGCTCTGTAACATCCAGCAGTTTGAGAGAGGGGCTGGAACTGACCTCTCCTTCAGGATATACTGTTTGTTTTCGTGTTTTTAACTGCATGGTAAAATAATACAAACAGCAGACAGGAAGGGCTGCTCTTTGGTTACAGAGAGATGAGAACAAGAACAGAGAGAAATGACTGAAGAAGTTGTATAACTGCCGCTGTTAGCGTATGCTAGCCTGGCCACATGATATATGTGTCCCCACTGCTGAGGCCACACCAGGTGAGTAAATTTAGCCAGATTTTGGTCTGACTGTTCCATCAACTGCTTGTAGCCTAAGAGGCAACAATCAAGGCAAAAAAAAGTCACAGGACAACATTCAGAGAGGTTGCAAAAAAGGTCAAGGGGACAAGAACAGGAATATTATTAGTGAAAAGGCCGTGCATGAGAGACAGAGAGAGAGTTTACCTCTGGTGTGTCAAAGATGCGTTTGACCTGCATGAGATTAGTGATGTGCCAGGTGTACTTGGAGAGAGAACCGAGGGGGAGTCCATCATTTCTCACACATGCTGACATTCACACAAGACAGAGAGTCCATGTGGTTTGTTTAGCCAGTGGTGTCATCACATGGTTTACTTAAGTAACATTCTTAACAATATTAAAAGCATTAAAGTCCTCCATTCAGAATCATATTGGGTAAAAGTACAGTAAAGTATTACCAGCAACATGTACTCCTGTGTTTAGATAGATGCAGTATACAACAAAGTCCCAGTGCAAAATCACTTAAATGTTAAATGATTAAAACTTGCATCATAACTATTATTTACTATACTATAAAATAACTATTGTTTTTAAATAGAAGTACACCATATTCGATCTTACGTATCCTTGGAAACAAACTATTTAGACAGATATTTAAAATACAGCACAACCTCACAGCAACGAAGCTGATTACACCTGGGACCGCTGCGACAAAAGCGATGTCGCAGCCGTGGTTACAAAGTACAGGAAGCATTACTGAGTGAAATTTATTCTCTCACCTGTTGTGAAGTTAGGCAGCCTCCTCTTCTTCGATCCGAGGGACAGACGATGCTGCAGAGCGTTGAAGAACTCCTGGGGAATGTGGTACACCAGAGGCTGTGGTTTCCCTAGTGGCAAAACATCAACAGCAACAACTGTTTCTAGTGTGTAACAAACAATCAAAGCTAGTCATCCTGCAGACATGAAGCTCCTTTACTGAGCATCGTGCACAGTAAGAACAAGGTGGTTTATAATGTATGGGTTACCAGACTGTGGATAATCCACTGCTTGGGTACATCAACAGCCCAGTTCATAAAGACAGGGTTCGGCATTTTTGGAAATAAACTTGTTCCCTTTCTTCAGGATAGTCGGATGAGAAGACAGATGCCACTCTCATGTCTGTACTGTGGCTGGTTAGCTTAGCACAAAGACTGGAAACAGGGGGAACAGCCTGGCTCAGACCTAAGACAAAGAAACATCAGGCTGTAGCTTCATTGATCTGTAAATGGACTGTATTTTATATAGCGCTTTCTCACAGTGTGTTGCACTGGCCAAAGCACTTTACAGAAGATCATACACCATTCACCCATTCACACACCGATGACGACAGGCTGCCATGCACCGGTGCTAGTCAAGCCACCGGGAGCAATTCGGGGTTACACTTAGGCATGCGGGGAGACCGGGAGTCGAACCACCAACTTGCTGGTCAGGAGACGACTGCCCTACCTCATGAGCCACAGTGGAAGAAGCTTTAATGTTTTAATCATCTGATTCCGAAAAGACACTAAAGTCATTAAGTAAATGTGCCTGTATTAAAACCTTTCCACCAGTGGCTGGAAGACAGATTGATGTTGTCTTCCGGCAGAGCCAGGCTAATCATTCCCCACTGTTTCCACTGTTTAAGCTAAGCTAACCAGCTGCAGGCTGGATGCACAGTCATCAATCTTCTCATCCAACTTTCAACAAGAACGTTTGCAAACTGTCACACTACTTCTTTACTTCTGAACCAGTAGAGCACATACTGTATGTGGGGACTGAAACATGTAGCCTAGTGAACATGCTTCAGTTTTACCATCAAACTGGTAGTGCATGGTCTGGTGGATCCTCTCTGTCACACTGGCCAGCCACTGATGGAAGCCCATCGCCACTGTGCGCTCGTCCACAACCTGGGAGCTCCCTGACAAATACACAGGTGAGAATATCAAATAGCACAACATCTCCTTCACTGTTTTCTTTGTTTCTAGGTGGCACACAGACAGACTTAGCTCATAAGTTTAAACTTTTTACTGTCAAAATTAAAAGGCCTGGAAATGTTTTCAGGCTGTCTGTAGTTTCAAGTTAAAATGAAGACATTTTACAGTATTTTTAATTCTACACAGAATTTAAGTTAATACTAGTTTCACGGTCATGCAAACAAAGTATAAAAGACATGAATGACAACCAGTAGGGCTGATGTGGCTTAGAGCTATTTACCAAGTGTGTGAATTTATTGACACTGATATCACACTTTTGTCACTGCTTTCAAAGCATAAACATTAATTCATTATTAAACACAACCTGGTCCTGGATAAGCAGCAGAAAACAGATGGAAGGGTTAACCGATTAAAAACTAGACTTTATTTAAGTCCACATATGAATTTCACATAAGGTCAAAGGTCTGAGCACTTTGGTTTTGCTAAAACACAGTAAAAAATATTTTATGGTTGACACAGCCTATGAATGGGTGAAAACAATCTAATGACTTTTAATACATTTAAAAGCCTTTTTTAAGGAAATCAATGCAATACATTGACTTTTCAAATTAAAGGTACTACAGTGTGACCCTGCTCTTTTCAACAGCAGACCAGGATCAGTGCTGCAGGACAGGACAGAGGAATGATGAAGACAGAGACAGACACAAGGCTCTTTAACAGACAGAAAGCTTTAGGAAGCAGGGTTCAGATGGGCAGGGGGGCAGCACCTAGAGCCTTCTGAGCACCGCCACCAGGGCCTCTCCTCTGAGCAGATCTCCGCAGGCCGGAGGCTGACACTCCCTCTTTCCCCACCCCTGAGGGAGAAGCCACTGAGGGGGCTGGACAGAGGCAGGAATGGCAGGACAGAGAGAAAAGGAAGAATAACCGAAGATTCAGACAAACTTTCTTCAACCGTGCGTTAAAAATAATGTATAATAAATCCTTCAGGAAGTATTATGATGGAACCACCAGAGAGAGATTCATCTGGACGAGACTTCTTTGCTTTGTAGTGAGAGTTGACTGGATCAGCCTGCTGTAGGGGTTTCTCACTGGGATTATTTAATCTACTGGAAGCACTTTGCTGCACATCTGAAGGTTAAAACATGGAGAAAGACATTTTCTGTAACCAGTTGAGGCAAATAACACATTAAAGGAACAGTCTGACATTCTGGGAATTTTTTTTCCCTTTATCATTTGTGTTACTTCATATTTAGGACCTTGATGTTTAAATCAGGTCAGGGGTGGGTTAGATATAGCTTGCACATAAATCAGTTGCCAGGTCATTAGGTACACCTACTGTATCTTAAACCAATGCAATCTAATACAACACACGAAGGTGATATTCACTGTTTGTTGAAACAGTTTCAGAGACGTGTTGATTCAGCTGCATGATCATTTTGAGAGGATGTCGTTTGTGCTGCTGTTGAGTTGCAGTGAGGTCAATCGCCTCTCAACATAATGCAGTAGAAATATACAGCACCACAAACAGCCTCCAAAATGATCTGACTCAGCTGTTGTTCCATTTACTGCACTTTGAGGGAAGTTAAGGGATCAATAAAAACTGTTCATGGCATTATTTTTTAAAGCATGCTCACTTTAACTTTAGTGCCTAAAGCTTTTGCATAGTACTGTATAGTGCAAAAACCAAAATGTAAAATGACATGGTGCGGTTATGGTAGGGGATTGTGGGTCAGATTATTTCAAGGCAAAGAGCAGTGACTTCCTGCAGTGACTCTGAGGGTCATAGGTAACATCTAGCAAAAACACATAAGGGTACCGCCCAACATTTTGAACTATACACTGCAACTGACAGAAAAAACAGGCTCGGTTACTGTACCATTGGTGGTGTAGCCGATGAAAGCAGAAAACTCTGAAGCCAGTTTCTCATCACTTGCAAAGGCACACACACAGGCATAGAAGTGAAGGCAGGGCGGTGGTGTGGCCGAGCTTAGAGAAGAATGGCATTTGGTTGATCCACCTGCTCCACCAGCACCCAGTTTATTTCTTCTGTTGCTAACCTGGCAGGCACAGTGGAACACGGCTTGCTGCTGGGCTTCTCTGCCCCTTCTGTCACCCTTTAAAACCTCAGACAGTTCACCTGCACCTACAGTGAGATGCAGGAGGCCCAGAGGGTGATAGGAATCTGTGTGGCACTTCACCACTAGAGTGTCTTTTGAAACTCGCTGCACCAGGGGCCCCGGGGACTCTGTGGCCAGCCTCCACAGCTCCTCTCTGGCTTGAATGGAGGCCTGCAAACCCTCCAAGACAGAGCTCTTTAAGGTCAGCGGCGACGCGCAGCTTCGACACTCGATGGCTTGTTTGATGTGGATGCAGAGACTGTCTGAAGAAGACTGCCTGGAACTGGCTGCCAATGAGTCTGCCTCACCCTGATTTGACCTTTGACCTTGTCTGCAAGAAGGCAAAAAACAGCGGCCCAGATTGATCTGGGTTAGCAAGGTGGCTCCATCGCCAGTTGCTATAGCAGTGTCAGTGGGAACAAGCTCAACAAAGCCGAACTGTGTAGCTGTGGCTCCTCTCCCTCTGTGACGCACTGAAAACACCTGCACCCCTCCCCCTCAGCC